CCAAAGGAGGGGGAGCCCGAGAGGAGGGGAGAGGGAGGGCGGGAGAGGAGAGGGCTGGAGAGCCGGTGCCTGAGGGCGAGGAGGACCCTCCAGGTCGCGAGCCTGCAGCGCCGCAACGAGTCCAACTCCAAGGAGCGCGCCTTGGGCGCGGGGCGCGGAGGGGCGTGAACACCAGGCTCTCAAGCCACGTGTGCAGCCTCGGGAGGGAAGGAGAAGAGGAGATGGGATGTGTGGTCAGGATGCACCGCGGCGCGTTGGGGAGATCGTGGGGTCGCCCCTCGCCGCAAAGCTCGCTTGGAGTCTTGGCTGCGGGTGGCAGAGTCACGTAGGGGGTCGAGGAGAGGTTTGGATTTTAGATCCCGTGCTCACTGAGAACCCTGCCGGCGACCTTCTGCCCCGCACTCTGCACTCCGAAACCCACCCAGACAGCCCTTCGCCGCTTCGTCCTCAGTCTGGCCAAACCTGAGAGGGCAGGACCACGGACAGCGTCCACGGGTTTCCCAGGAGGGACGCCATCAGGAAATTCCTGTGCCTGGTACTTGGAGGAGGGGCCTGGTCTGAAGCACAGGGCTGCATTGACTGAATTCCCGCCTGCTCCCCGGTCTCAGGCTGCGGACCCTAAGAAGAGTAAAGTGGGATGCAACTCAACCTGGCTGAACGGGGTTGGGGGAGGGGGGCAGACACTCAGAGAATAAAGGGGAGGAGGCTGTGGGCCACTGAAGCACCGAGGACAGGACGCTGACTTCTCCCTCCCTGCGTCAAGAAATGCAGCCCTCTTGACTGTTACCTTACACCACCACTCCCCAAATGTCCACCGCACTACCTCCCTCCTCACCCTGCACCCTTCCTCAGCCACCAGGGCTTTTCCCTCATCGTCCTGATGCTCCTTCATCGTCCAGAACTTCATTCTTGGCCCGCACTCTGCCCTGTCCATCCTCAGATAAACACCCCCAGGTCTCCTCACCTCGTTTTAGAGTGACACAGTAATTGCAGTACTTAAGCTAGGATAACAGAAATAATAAACATTAGAGAGACTAAAGCTACCGAAGGTTTAGGCAGGATTGCCTCCAGACTGCTCAGCAAAATGCCCCAGACTGGGGATGGGGATTTTAACCTCCCTCCTGTTGCTCTGGAGTTGGCCCTGACTGATGTGGAGCCCAGACGCAACAGAAGAACACGTCGCTCACTCCTGCACTGTCCCCATGATTGGCTGGGGATCAGACGTTGTGAACCATAGGATTTTCATTAGCTGATTGTCAGATTCCCAGGCCTTTCTTCCTAGTCTTGCTTAGTCTGGAAGCGCTGTTGACATCTGTTCGGCCTTGCAATAACATGCAAATGGGTAGTGGCTGTGCTTCAAGCGCATCGGCCAAGAATGGAGCCAGGTTTCCCCACTGAGAAAACCAGCATTGACCACTGAACCACTGCTGCCCCCCTCTCCCCCCTTAGAAGCTCCTGGAGGCCCTCTCTCTTTCCTTTACCTTCTCATATGCTCTCTTTCTAGACGGTGGAGCTTCACGGCTCCTCCCTGTTAAATCCCACCCTTTGTCCTAGGAGAATCGCAGATATCTATTTGAAACTGGGAAGAAGTGGCAGATTAACCCACGCTCCCAATTCAAGTCACTCTGTCCGGAGGAAAATCAAATTAGGAACAAAATCAGTCAATTTCATGCATCTATATCCATCCTAGGAATCCTGGTGGTATCATGGCTATGTGTTGACCACAAGGTCAGTGGTTCACAACCACCAGCCGCTCCTCTGGTGAAAGATGGAGCTTTCTACTTCCAGAAATAGTTACAGTCTCAGAAACTCACATAGGACACTTCTACCTTGTCCTACAGGAGAATCAGCTCAATGGCCGTGAGTCTGGAGACATGTCCACCCTAATGGAACCCTGGTGGCACTGTCAGGCAAGCATTGGATAAGGTTAGTGGTTCAACCCCACCAGTTGATCTGGGGGAAAGAGGTCATCTGCTAATCTGTGGATTAGGAAACCCTACATTGGGTCAGTGTGAGCTGGAATTGCTTGATGGCACAGTGGGTGGATATATTTCCTAAACCCAAGTTACAACAAACTTAGCTAAAGTTAGTGTGATATTTTTTTTAAATCCAACTGAGATACAATCTGCAGACTAGTGCAAAGCCCCAGGGCTAGAGCCCTTCGTCACCCTTCAGATCTGGACATGAACTCACCCCCATGGCTCAATATTCAGTCAAATAATAGGCAGGTCTATCAAACTTACCACCATCGAGTTGATCCTGAATCATAACAACCCTATAGGACAGGGTAGAACTGCCAATGTGAGTTTCCAACACTGTGCCTCTTTATGGAAGTAGAAAGGTCCATTTTTCTCCCTGAGAGTGACTGGTGGTTTCAAACTGCTGACCTTGCAGTTAGAAGTCCAACTCGCAACCACTATGCCACTAGGGTGCCTCAACAACACTAGAGAGGTGCAGGAGATGGAGGAGAGAAATGGAAACAGGAAGCACAAGGAGGAAGTGGGGTAAGTCATGTTATTCTGCGGACATTAGCATCAGTGACATGAAACAAAAGGTGTGTCATTGTTGACCAGAAAACTGATCTGCTCTGAAAACCCTCACCCAATTCACATGAAAAGTTTTAAAAAGAAAGATACAATTCCTAACGCCCTAGAAAATAATCAGATGTTCAGCCGAAGGCTTTAGACCAGTGGTTCTCAACCTGTGGGTCTCGACCCCTTTGGGCGGCAATGACCCTTTCACAAGGGTTGCCTAATTCACAATAGTAGCAAAATGACAGTGATGAAGTAGCAACGAAAATAATTTTATGGTTGGGGGCGGGGTCCCCACCACATAAGGAACTGTATGAAAGGGTGGTGGCATGAGGAAGGTTGAGACCCACAGTGTGGCATATACTCACGAGCAGAGGCACCCTTTTGCTTGAAAATATCTTAAGCTGAGGAAATTGTGACAAAGTAGTTGGGAAAAGATCTGGGATATAGACAAGCCCCAGAAACAGAGCCATCATTCTGGTCAATATCACTGATACCCAATACTATAGTCATAGCAAGACAACCGTGTTAATAACAGAACCCAAACCAAACCCACTGCCGCCGTCGAGTCAATTCTGACTTATAGAGACCCGATAGATGGGGTAGCACTGCCCCAGTGGGTTTCTGAGACTGTAACTCTTTATGGGAGTAAAAAGCCCTACCTTTTTCCCCAAAGATCACCTGCTGCTTTCAAACTTTGGACCCTGCTGATCACAACCCAAAAAGTAACCACTAGGCCACCAGGCCTCTGTCAGCAACAGAAGGTTATGCAAACGCTGGTATTTGAGAGATCAACACCAGTCACCCTCTAGGGAAGCCAGTTAGTGTTGTCAGCATTTGCCAGGGGAAAAAGACGTGATCATTGTAGATGAGACATCTATGTTAGATCTTTTACTCCCTCTGGTTCTCTCAGAAGTGAAGGCTCGGCCCTCGGCCAGCTAGGACGTCAAATGAAGCTGTGTTATGGCCATCTCCTCTGTACGAATAGTGCTCCAGAAGCTTACGAAACCATTACTGCACAAGGCAAAGCAAAATGGAACAAATAAAGGAAAGGCAGCACTGCCTATAACACGCTCCAACTCACAGAGACCCTGCGGCACAGAGTAGAACTGGCCACAGAGGGTTTCCAAAGCTAAAAGTCTTTACAGAAGCAGACAGCCTCATCATTCCCCTGAGTCATAATTGGTGAGTTTGAACTGCTGACCTTACAATTAGTAGCTCAATGCTTAGCCAACTGTGCCACCAGGGCTCTTAATAGCACTTTCGGTAGTCCACAAACACACCTTCATTGACTCCATTGAGATCTATAGCAACTTGATAAGACAGAGTAAAACCGCTTCTTTGGGTTTCTAAGACTGTAAATCTTAATGAGAGCAGACCGACTCATCTTCCTCCTGAGGAACTGCTTGCTGGTGGCTGGGAATCACTGAGCTGGCGGTTAGCAATCCCATGGGCCCCCAGGACTCCTGTTGGACTTCACTTAGTAGACAGAAAAGTAAGGACCTCCTACCCTCCTCTGCCCACTACAGCCTTCAATGGCTCGTCAGACCAAGGCCGGATCATGTAGCATGGCATTTCTAACCTTGTGCACCCCAATTCTGATCTCCCTTAATTTTGGTCTGGCCTCCCCTTTCTGTCTGCCTCATTCCTACCCCCAGACCAAAGTAGTCTACCTGCTAAGCCCTAGCCATTCCTGTCCAATACTGCTCTTGGGGTTCATTACCTCTTTCTGGAATGTTGGCTGTCTCATCCCCACCCAAGCCCACATCCTTCATACCTTTCAAGACCCAACTTAAAGACTCCCCTGTCTCCAAAACTGTCTCTCTTTCAGGATTTTTCTGCGTTGGTCA